TTTATGAGACTTGTTCTTTGACACATCACATATATTATCAGCCTGTAGTTTAGGAGTTCTTCTGACATCTTCCATTTTCATTCCTTCAAGTTTATGCTGCCACTGTTTCATATCTTTTTCTTCTTTGATGATTTGACTCAAAGTGTGGATATCAGTGTTCTCAGGCTGCCACACATAACAGTCATTTTTGGATTTTATTCCTCTCATTACAATATCTAGTTTATCATTAAACACTAGACATTCAGATCTTGAGAAGTTGACCCTGAATCCTAGATCACATAATTGACTGATGCTGATGAGATTAGTAGTCAACCCTTTTACCAGCAGTACCTTATTCAGACTTGGAACTCCAGGGTAGTCCAAATTACCAACTCCTTTGATTTCTCCTTTAGCACCATCTCCAAAGGTCACAAAACTGGTGGTGTGAGGCATAACATTATTGAGGAGATTTTTGAATCCAGTCATGTGTCTGGAACATCCACTGTCAAAGTACCAATCTTCCTTTGTTGAGATCTTCGGGAAAGTGTGTGCTATCAGTGCAATAGCCTTTTTCTTCCATTGAGGAGCGTGTGGTACCCTTTTAGACTTAGGTTTGACATCTGATTTCTGATTAGGATATCCATGTAGTCTGTAGCAGAAGGGCTTTATGTGGCCATATTTCCCACAATGATGACATCTCCATCTTTGGTACCTCTTCTTCATGTGTCTCTGTCCCTGATGTGGAGAGTAATGTTGAGACATTCGGTTTGACATTGGCTTCCTGGTAACAACTTTCTTTGTTTCCACAAACCCTAAGCCAGATTTATTTCCCATATTTTGTCCAGCCTGAAGAATCTCTTCCAATTTGTCTGTCCCATTTGTCAACATCTTGACTGATTTGGTCATTTGATTCAGTTGTGAGTTCAGCAGTTGAACTTCTCCTTCTAAATGACTTATAGTTTCAAGATTTGCTCTCTTTTCAGCCTCCAGCTTTACAATGAGTTTTGATTGTTTCTCATTTTGCACACAGACTTCACCACTTCTGATACACAATTTCTTGTAGGTATCAGCCAGTTCTTCAAATGTTACTTCTTCATCACTGGTGTCACTTTCAGAAGGACAAACACTAGTTAGGGCAGTAACTAGTTTGGCAGATTCTTCTTCAGAATTGCTTTCTGAATCATAGTCAGACCAGGTAACAGTCATTCCTTTCTTTTGCTTCTTAAGAAAGGTAGGACATTCAGCTCGAATATGTCCATATCCTTCACATCCATGGCATTGAATTCCTCTGCCTTGGTTTTCCTTATCTTCTGATCTTGGTCTTCTGCTGGAACTGTCAATGTCAGAAGGAATGTTGTGAACATTTGACCTTGACTTTGGGTCCATCCTTTTGATGAGCCTGTTGAACTGTCTTCCAAGCATGGCAATGGCTTCTGATATGTTTTCTTCTTCATCCTCCTTGTGTTCAACATCAGTGTTGGTTACAAGTGCTATGCTTTTGTTCTTCTTGTCACCATTATCAGTGATCCCCATCTCAAAAGTCTGAAGAGACCCAATAAGTTCATCCACTTTTAACTTGCTAATGTCCTGGGCTTCCTCTATGGCAGTTACCTTCATTGCAAATCTTTTAGGCAAGGATCTGAGAATCTTCCTCACCAGTTTTTCTTCTGACATTTTTTCTCCCAGTGCTCCTGAGGTGTTGGCAATCTCCAAGATGTTCATGTGAAATTCATGGATGGTTTCATCTTCCATCATTTTTAGATTCTCAAACTTAGTGGTCAACATCTGAAGCCTTGACATCTTTACTTTGGAAGTGCCCTCATGAGTAGTTTTGAGGGTGTCCCAAACTTCCTTGGCCAGTTCATATTGATGTACTAATCTGAAGATGTTTCTATCAATTCCATTGAACAAGGCATTTAAGGCTTTTGAATTTCCCAGAGCTAACTCATCTTCTTCTTTACTCCAATCTTCCTCAGGCTTCAGACTGATTGTCCCATCTCTTTCAGTTATGGTGGGATGAATCCATCCTTTGTCAGCAGCTCTCCAAGCCTTTTTGTCCAGAGATTTTAGGAAGGCAATCATACGAGGTTTCCAATAGTCATAATTAGTTCCATCCAGAATGGGTGGTCTGTTTCCAAAAACTCCTTCTTTGTCCATAGTGCCAGAAAGTGATATCCCTAGATCTCACCCAGTAATACAGGCAGGGTGCCTGCTCTGATACCAATTGAAAATTCTGGCTACAGATACTCAATGTCACGTCCAATGTTATGACACTGTATCTGACTTACTATATGACAGTAATTACAAAAGCAGTAAATAACACAGTCAATTGTTTACCCAGTTCAGTGTGCAACAACACCTACTCTGGGGGCTACCAAGCCAGGGAGAGAATCCACTATAAGAGATGTTAATTCAGGAATAAACCAACCAGTTTATCTCCTTCACTTAAGACCTACCCAATGCAATTCTAATCTAAGTACAACTTAAACCTGAGTTCCTACTCACTCCCCCTCAATCACAGCAGTGATACATAAACCAATTTGACTTGAGAATTGATGAAGACACTCTTCAAAACACCCTCTTGATTATGCTTCACAGCTTTTTAATCAAGTAACACAATCACTCGTGCTTCACAGCTTTGAGTGATGTACACAACTAACTTGACTCTGCTTCACAGCTTTAGTCAAGTAACATTCAAACACTCTTGCTTCAAAGCTTTGAGTGCTACACAACCCTTACAATTGAAACCTATTCCAAGACACTTATCACAATGATAATTGCTTGGAGTACAATTAAACAAATCTATACAGATTACAAACTCGATCTTCTAATTAATCAGCAGGGATGATCTCAAAAACCGCAGCTCTGTTGAATATATAGCAGCTGCAACTTCAGTTAGGGTTTCCAAAAACCTAGGGTTGATTCCGTTTGACCTAAAGTCCAGGTCACAGTACTTTGTTGATCAGGTTAGGATTGAGTGAGGTTATTCCTCAGAAAACGCAGGATTCTGTTTAGGAAGGACTGAGTTATTTCCTGAAAAAACTCAGACTTATCCAATCCTGTAATCCTGCTAGTTCAGAACAGGATGTCATAACATCTGTTATGACATCTGAGAAAACCTGTCTACTGATTAGCTAAATGTGATCATTTTGCAAACATGCTCAGATACACACTTATGAACATCAGTATTTGAGTTACAATATTTTTCTGCATATGTACCTAAAGAGTTAGTACAACCTGAACTAGAATGTTATGACATCAGTCATGTCATTCACACATACACCAAAAATACAAGCCAATACCTAAACACCTACACTAACAAATCTAGCAATATCGACAATTACATACTAAAATATATTTTGATACAACATGTAGGGCTTTGACATCAGCATGTGAGCAGACTTCAACAATATGAAGAGATCATGTTGAATTGTTAAACCAAAAAACTACTCTTCAACCATACTAGAGTTCAATCCAATATCTTACAATCTATATTGTTGAAGAGGAATAAGTAAATTGACCATTTCGGATTTTTGCACCAGCAAAGAGGATATAGTGATTATTTTTGTGTGTTTTCATTGCAGTCACTGATAAAATAAAGACTCTTCTCATTTGGTTCTATAGATGTTTGACAAAAGAACAAAAATTGTTATTGACTTGAAATTTCTATAGAAAGATATTGAAAATTTTGAAGAAAATTCTCATGAAGCTTTTTAGACAAGTTGTAAATTATTTGTGATAGGCCTGACAATTTATGACACCTTAAAATGTCTATATTACTATCTTGTACTGTATAATACAAATTGATACATGTATATCCACATGCACTTGGTGTTAGTTTATATGTATTTTCACATAAGAAACATGAACTAATAACATCTTGTGATTAAATGTAGAAATTTTCTCTAATAATGACTTTCTGTCTCACACATCCATAAAGATTGATTGTTTACAACAAATTATTATATTATGATGTAGTATAAGTGTTCTTAGGATATATTTTCAATCATCTGAATTTTGAAGGATATAATACTGCTAACTCTCTTAAAAACTATATTTATATAATAATGAAACTATATTCAGTTTGTGAAATATAAGTCAACATCATATAATTAAAATTACAGTAAATAACCATATTTTATAGAGTATAAGATAGGTGATATTAGTTAGCAATAAAGTATTAATTGTTAGATGATATTAGCTACCAATAAAGTATTAATTGACAAATGATATGATATCACTGGCAAAGGACACATACATTGATGTGCTTCACACACAAAGTTTTAATAATTTCTTTTTATTTATATCTTTTTATTTTTATCTCAATTGTTTTAATAATTTCTTTTTATTTATATCTTTTTATTTTTATCTCAATTGTTTTAATAATTTTTTGTCATTTCATGAATATGTCATAATTCCTAAAACTTCTAATTTTATAATTTATTTATTTTTTAAAATTATAAATAATTGTTGACAATTTCAGAACCTACACCAATACTATAGGAACACTAATTCATGCAAATGCCCAAATATCCCTAACAATATAACAATAATAGTGGTGTGGCTGCGTGAGTTAATTTGTTTCCAAAATTCCACAAAGTACAACAAAAACTAGAAATCACGGACCAAAATCAAAGAAAAGAGGAAATGTCAATAAGCATTAAACACACGCAATTGGTAAAACAAAACGACACCGTTGCGGCGCAACTACTAATCCATGAGTGTCAACATTGATCATATTCCACCGCCTTCAACGGAAAAGTAAAGTACGCTCACGTCTCCTTTTCCTTCAACTAATTTTCTGTTTTCATTTATATATAAATACACTATTCTCTCTTTCTAATTTATTATATTTTTTATTCATTATTCCACCACCGCCATCATCTTCATTGTACTTTCCTAATTCAATTATTTGATTCATCTTCTTCCTATTCACGCTTCAACCGAAAATAGAATAATCCAATTTCAACTTTCAAATTTTAATTTAAACTTTAGACTTAGATCATTTTTCTATAAAAAAAATGAATTCGATTCATTTGATTAACACTCTCGCACTTAGTGCTCCGCATCGGTTCTCTTTACCTCACATCAATTATTCTTCGCCTCCTTCTTCCGCCGTCTCGAAACGGCAGCGTTTCTCGCCGTCCGCTAGGTTCCGTCTCGTCTCAGCGCAAACCGTCAATTCAGTACCGGTGAGTATAATTTTCGTCGGATCAAGCTTGTTTATTACGCTACATGTGTTTGTTTTCGCTTATATTGCTTTTCTTTTTCGTTTTAGCGCGCGAATGGGAGTTATACAGTTTCTGATTTCATGACGAAAAAGCATAATTTACATGTTGTTAAAACTTCCACATCTGTTGATGAAGGTAATATTTGTAATTGCTTAAATGTTGTTATGTGATCCAATGTTGATTTTTGTATGGTCACGCTTTTTTTTTATGTGGTTACAGCTCTGGAGGCTCTGGTTAGGAACAGAATCAGTGGTCTTCCTGTAGTCGATGACGACTGGAATCTGGTAAATGTTTAATATACTTCGATCGTGATCTATGAAACACAGATACACCGGAAACACTGACACTGTCGACACTTGTAATAATTTGAAAAAACGAATTTGGTTTCAGACGACACTACACTGACACACACATTTTTTATTTTTCAAAAAAGGTGTGTGTGCTACATAATCATGATCATGTAGAAGAATGCAAGTACTGATATAATGATATGTGTTGTTTCAATTACTCACTGTACTTGTTTTTGTTTTTCCTTTTTGTTACTTTTTTGGGTGCTGTAGGTTGGAGTTGTCTCAGATTATGACTTGTTAGCAATTGATACAATATCAGGTATCTAGATTTCAACATCATTAATATTTTGTCTAGTTTGCTCTAAAGTGGACAATTTTCCACTACTTTTTCAATTGCATAAGCAAATGATTAAATCAATGTCTTTATAGGCCTTGAGAAGGGTTATAATTATTTTTTTCTTCAAAACTTTGGTGTTATTGTTGAATATTTGAAGATAGCCCTATGTTTTATGCCTGTGTGCATTTTTGTGAGAAAGAAACAGTAGTTTCTGTTTTGGTAAGTAAGTGAAGAACCTAAACGGCAGTGTTAGACTTTGCTGCTAGTCGGAAACTCGGTCGTTCTGAAACAAGTTCTTTGCATACTATGGCAATGTTTTTACTGATTGTTGTTTGTGGTTTTTAGGGGGTTCTCAATGTGGTGCGGGCTTATTTCCTGATGTCGACAGTACTTGGAAAGTAAGTATGGCCATTTTATGTTCTGCTACCTTACTGTTGATGTTGTTATATAAGCAATCATTGCATCTTTGTACGAATGGTTCTAATTACATTCAAGTTATTTTCTGTCAATCGTAATTAGTTCATCTTAAATTGCTGCCAAATGGTTCTACAGGGTGTTGATTTTGCATTGATTTTGGTATTATTCTTTTATGATGAAGATGAATAACTCTTTTTATGCACCAAGTTAATAATTCACCTGGTGTGACATGAAACACTTTCACAAATGTAACACGAGTTCACTTTTCGTCTGATGGCTCTAACTTTGTTTGGTTTTCAAAAGCTAATGAAGACATGGATTATTGCCTGCATAAATACTTGAGACCAAACCTCTGTTTGTAGATCCTTTTTTACTGGCATTTTACATCAGCTTATATCTGCTTGACCAATATTTGTAAAGTTAATCCTTGTCCTCTAGAACGCATTATGTGGCAATCTAACTTTTTTTCAGTTAAACTTTATTGGGATGCATTATGTGGCAACCTACATTATTTTCAGTTAGACTTTATTGCTCCCGTGAACTTTTTCAGACTTCTAGACTTCAACTGGTCTTGTACAAGTCAATCTTTAACAACTCTCAATACTTTGTATTGTATGTATTACATCAACTAAACTGTTGATTTATGTTTATAAAAGATAACAATCTTATTTTTGAAAATATGAAGAAATATTGAAGTTTGTTAGTTAACGCTGAATGTTTTATTTCAACCATCGAACCTCCCAACACCTCATTCATAAAATAGAAGAAAATTGCTGTCTCAAGTCTAATGTCTGCAAGTGCATCCTTACATATTTAGCATGCTAGAGTCAAGCTTCAAACAGCGATGATCCAATAATATGGTGCTGTATTGTATAAGACTCTTTCTTTCCTTTTGATGTATGGTTTGAAAGCCTACTTAACTGAGGTACCATAGAAGAATTTTAGAAGTCAGCCAAGTCTTGTTAAGATTAAGCATCAACGCCTTCAATTTAGAATTATAGGAGTTGTCTGGTTTTCTCCTTCTTATTTGGGTAGAAGGAAGCGGAGAGGATTGAGGCAGTAGGGATGTAACCATACTTTTTATTTCAATTTTTACTGAATATGTGATTGCACATGGTCCTCAAGCCATTCATTTTGTTGTGTCACTGATATGAACTTTCTCCATAAAGGAAATTATAATTGTCTAGAGTTAACTAGTTTCATTCTATTAATTCACTACTTATGTACGGTTCTTATTTTTGTGTTGCATGACAGACATTCAACGAGATACAAAAGCTTCTTAGCAAGACTAATGGCAAAGTTGTTGGTGATTTAATGACCCCAAGTCCACTTGTTATTCATGACTCCACTAGTCTGGAGGATGCTGCCAGGTACTGGTTTTGCATACTGATTCGAATAAGTTTTTTTTACAAACAATTAGGGAAGAATCCCCTTGATTACCAAACAAAAATTTTAACTTTAAAGAACTGTGACAAGATAGTTCCCTCTCTCAACCCCTTATATTATTTATAGCCAAGTCTTATTTTCCTTAATCATCCCAACCTCCAACTATTAACCACCTTCCTAACTTGGTTATTATGTTATGGTGTCATAATAGTTCATCATTTCTTACTAATGCATGAGGACAACAAAAATATCTGGCAATTTGCATTAACATCATTACAACTATTTGATTAGTGTCCATGAAATTGAATCTTTATTAAATGTGATTCCTGCACACAACAATCCTATAATAACAATAATAACAATCTTGGCTGCGAACATTGTTGTCCCTATGCCTGACATTGTTACTTCTTGTATTAGGTTGTTGCTTGAAACTAAATACCGTCGACTTCCCGTGGTTGACAAAGATGGAAAGCTGGTGACTTATTAATCTCTTGCAAGTTAAATTTTCTTTTCTTATTACTTCAGCGACTTCCGCTGATTTATTTTTGCACGTTTCTTTTTTAAGGTTGGGCTTATTACAAGGGGAAATATTGTTAAGGCGGCTCTGCTGTCAAAGCGCTCTAGTGAGAGGCTCACATAGTTTGACAAATACAGATTTCAAGTGCTCCTTATCTTTAGCTATGTCCTGTAATCATAGTCATATTTTGATTATTAAAGATGCATTTATCAGCCTAAAAGGGAAGCTGAATGTAACTCTTGATGACCTTCTGAGACCTTTAAAGTAGGTGGTTAATACTTAATACTATTGAGAAGAAAGTGAATTATCAATCTCCTTACTCAACAATGTTTTTGTGCATTGGATTCTTTAGGCTTAAAGACAGTATATCCAGTTAATCTTTGTATAGATCTGTTAAATCTTTATAGGTATTGGGATTGGAATGGATCATTTTGAACACTGTATTAAACTTATACTGTAAATTGGTTAGCGTTTTGATTTTTATGTTATATGATGTCCTCGTTCATATTCTATCACTCACGAACTTCTTAATTCCTTTATGTATTTATTATGACATTATTGAATTGAATAACTAGCTAATATAGGCATGCTTGTGACATTTTTCTTTGCCAATATAACCAACACATTATTTACTAAATTTAACATTATTTTATACGAAGTTTTGAATTGATAATGGGAATAGAAACATTACTATTGTTGTTACTAAGAAGTGAACAACACTTGTCTTGCATTGTTTAACAATCTAAATATCCTTGTCAGTCTGCAAGATTTTAAGTTCCTGAATCAAAGCATCAATATCACCATATGAACTTCCACCTTCTTCAACAGCTCTTTTTGCATCCACAGAAATACTTTTGACTCTCCTTCTCATTTCCTCTACCTCTTCACTCTCCACCATCAACTTCTTCACTGCAAACTCCACTTTCTCTCTTCCCACCAACTCTTTCCTCTCTGCATCCCAAAACCCCCACTCTCTGCTACCCACCTGAACCCCAATCCTCAACACATCAGTTACCAGCTTCTCATTGACAAATTGCTCAGCCGAAAGTGGCCATGTTATCATAGGCACACCAGCACACACACATTCTAAAGTTGAGTTCCATCCACAATGAGTCATAAACCCACCAACTGCATCATGCTCCAATATCAATAGCTGAGGAGCCCAACCTCTAAAAATTAAACCTTTATCCATCTCCTTCATTCTCTTTTCAAATTCATCAAGAGCCCAAATTTCACTATCACTTTTAGATGAGTTGAGAATCTTCCCAACTACCCAAATGAATGGTTGATCGGAAGCCTCGAGACCATAAGCAATTTCCTTGAGCTGTTTCATAGGTAAGCAAGCTGCGCTTCCAAAACTAATGTAAAGAACTGAATTGGGTTTCTTAGAATTCAACCAATTCAAGCAACTTTGTTCATCAATAGTGGGTTGTTTCCCTCTCTCTTTCTTATCTTCTACGCTTCTGTTGCAGAGAGAAACTGGTCCTACAAGCCATGTTTTCTTTCCCAATTCATTTCTGATGTAATCAGCATAAACTGGTTCCAAATCATAGAAGCTATTGATAACAATACCTAAGCTTTTTTCCTCTATTTGCTTTATCCTATCAACAAACTCAGATTTGTTTCTCCTGAAACTCGGTACTTGAGACCTTGTCATCTCAACTCTATCAGGAAGACCAGGGACAAGGAAAGGTTCTGAGTCAGAACTCAGATTCTCAAACACAACATGTTTTCTCATATTTTCGAAGACGCAGCGAGGGAAACACCCGTTCCCGTTGAAGACAATCATTGGGACTTTAAGTTCGTCAATGATGTCACCAGCCCAACGATGAAACATGTCCACCACTATACAATCAGGTCTTTGTTGGAGGAGTAACAGTTTGAGAGGTTCGAGGAGAACCGAGGTATCGATCATGGGACCAGCAGACATGTCAGTGTCAGGTAATTGGGTGTTTTCAGGAAGGGTGAGAGTGTAGATGGTGATAGGAAGATTCGATTTTTGGTCGCGGGTGATTGAGTTTTGGAATTGTGCAGCGCAGGAAGGTGTGGTTAGGATAGTTGATGTGGCTCCATGTTTGGCAAACACTCTTGCTGTGTCTATCATTGGGATTTGATGACCTCCACCTAGGAAGGGGAACAAGTATATTTTAACTGCGCCAGTTTCATGGTTCATGTTGAAATGGAGATGATGATGAAGATGATGATGTTCACTTTACTTCTCAGTGAGAAACTGAGTTATGAGGAAGACGCGGGTCCAGTTATTTGGAAGATGGGTGAATTATAATAGATTCATGTCGGTACGATGAATTACAAAAGGTTGACATGCAAACGTCATGAATGACATATTACAGTCTGATGGATGTGGATAGAGAATACTCAAACTATAGGACCACTCGATGTACACGATTCAAACATACTCCCGATGGATTAACAAGAATTTGAAATGAATTAAATGAGTTTGTGTAGAAGTAGAAAGAATTACTCTTCTTTGAAATGAATTAAATGAGTTTGTGTAGAAGTTGAAAGAATTACTTCAGGTCACTAAATGTTTATGTCTCTAAAGTATAGAAGTGTTCAAAACTAAACCGATTCAATAGAAAATTGTAAAATTAAATTAAATTGAAATCGTAAAAAATCACATTTGATTCGGATGTATTTGAGTCATTTTCTAAGAGAGTCGTGTGGTTCGATTCAGTTTACGGTTTGTATTTTAAAAATCGAACTAAATCGAATTAAATCATATTATGTTATAAAATCTTATTAATTAATATATTTTTTTTAATTTTTTTAGAGAAATCAATATATATATATATATATATATATATATATATATATATATATATATATATATATATATATATATATATATATATATATATATATATATATATATATATATATATATATATATATATATATATATATATATATATATATATATATATATATATATATATATATATATATATATATATATATATATATATATATAATCATATTTTTTTATATAATATTTATTTTAATTTACAAATCATAAAAAATAAAATATTATTTATTTATAAATATTATTTTTATAAAATTATATTATATCGTATTTGTTGATATTTGTAAATATATAGTGTTAAAATATTTGTATGTAGAATAATTTCACATCAATTATATCGTGTAATTAGTTGTAATATCTCTATAGATATAATAAAGTCTCTATAGTACTTTTAAAACACACGGTTTAATCTAAATGTCTTTTAGTCTCTCCTAATTTAACATGGTATCTAGAGCCTACTAAGAGGTAATTCTTCGTTGTACTTTATACGGTTGATCCACTGTTCCGGTGACAATTTTTTTTTGTAAACCGTGCCATCACTCTGATTTGTCCTTCACTTTTTGAAATCCTCCGGTAACTACTGGACTGCTGCCGCTATCCGTCGCTACTAATTTCAGCGATCTCCCGGTAAACTAACTTTATCGGCAAAAGCGCCTCCTTCGATTCGGCCAATTCTGACGATTTTTTCACCGTCGCACTTGCCACCGTGCAACATTTCCAAATTTGATACTCATGACTACTCCTCGGAACTTTACGTTAAACTACAATGATTTTCTCACGTGGTATAAGAATTATCAGAACTCAGATTCTATTGTTTCGGTTGCACACACTGCTAATTCATCTGTTTGCTTCTCTCAGTCATCTTCTTTTGGACCTTGGGTATTTCATTTGGTGCGTCTGATCATGTTACTGATAATAAAAATCTCTTCTCTTTTCTCTCTAGCTCTGGTTTTTTACCTACTATAACTTCTGTCAATGATTCTCAAATCCGATCTGAAGAAATTGGTATTGTTCAAATTTTAGATTCTCTCTCTGTTACTTCTGTATTCTATGTACCTAATTGTCCATTTAATTTACTTTCAGTCAGTCATTTAACTCGTTCTCTTGATTGTATTGTCACCTTCACTAATAGTAATGTCACTCTGCATAATCGGAGTTCGGACAAACAATTGACGTCGGATGTGAGTTCCATGGTCTTTATTATCTCTCAGTGTCATCTCAGACATGCTCAGTCAAAGATTCTCTACTCACAATTTATGCTCAGTTAGGTCATCCTAGTCTTTTCAAATTACAGAAGTTGGTGCCAAGTTTATCGAAAGTATCTAATTTATATCGTGAGTCGTATCAGTTAGGAAAACACACTCGTAGTCAATTTCTCAATCGATTCAATAAACAAGCTTTGTCCTCTTTTGCTTTAGTTCACTATGATGTTTGGGTTCTCTCACGTACTATCTCTACTCTTGAGTTTAGGTATTTTGTCATCTTTATTGATGATTTTCACGTTGCACGTGGTTATTTTTAATGAAAAATATATCTGAATTATTTTCAATTTTTGAAAAAAAATTATAAAGAAATAAAAACTCAGTTTGATGTGTTTATTCGTACTTTAAGAAGTGATAATGCTCGTGAATATTTATCCCAATAATTTCAAACTTTTATGTTCAGTAATGTTATTCTTCATCAAATATCTTGCCCTCATACACCTCAACAAAATGGAGTAGCCGAACATAAAAATTGGCATCTTGTAGAAATCACTCAGACTCTACTTCTCCATGGTAATGTTCTACTTCAGTTTTGGGGGGACATTGTGCTAACGACATGTTACCTTATAAATCGCATGCCATCATTTGTTCTTAATAATAAAATCTATCATTCAATCCTTTTTTCCCATTCCCCCCTTCACCACCGAGTCTTCGGTTCTAAATGTTTTGTACATAATCTCTCTCCCGGTCTTGATAAATTATCAGCTCGATCACTAAAATATGTTTTTCTTGGTTATCATCAATCTCAAAAAGGTTATCGTTGTTATTCACATATCCTACAATGATACCTCATGTCGTCCGATGTCACATTCTCCGAGTTTGTTCCATATTTCGAGTCCAGTCAAGTAACTCTGGAATCCCTTCAGGAGAGTACTCCCACACCTCTTTTGAAAGTCTCATATGTCACTATCCCCCATCATTCTAGGGAATCTATCCCACTAGATAACCCTATGATTAACCCCCCGACTTTTCGTCCACTTCAAACATACCGGCATTATCAACCAACGTCTGTCGTACCTGTCCCTGAGGTTGTACAT